TTCCTTCCTTCCTTCCTTCCTTCCTTCCTTCCTTCCTTCCTTCCTTCCTTCCATTCTTCCATCCTTCCTTCCCCTTCCTTCCATTCTTCTCTCCTTTCCTCCCTCCCTCCCTCCCTGAATCTCTTTCTCCTTCCTTTTTTTTTTTTTGAGACAGAGTCTCACCAAGTAACTCTGGCTGTCCTTCAACTCACTATATAAACCAAGCTGGCCTGGAATTCACAGAGACCTCCCTGTCTGTTTCTGTCTCCTGAGTGCTGGGATTACAGGTGTGTACCACCATGCCTGGAAAATCCATCTTCCACGTTTTATTTTCCTATCTATCTATCTATCTATCTATCTATCTATCTATCTATCTATCTATCTATCTATCATCTACCTACCTACCTACCTACCTATCACAATACAGTTCTAATGGAATTCACTTTCTTTTCACCTGTGAGAATGCAAAGAAAAGAATGTATATCAAGATATAGCCATGACCCTGTTTGACTTTTACAGCTTTATGACTCTGATGTGAGAGAGAAGGGGGAAGTGGGTTATTAGAAAAGCTCACTAATAGAGGTGGAAGCCTCTAGTCTCTAATTCTAAGAGAGTTCGCACTCTTACCTTTGGTCATCATGTTATTAAGGGAAGGCTATGTTAAGACATTCAGTTGTCTAAATGAAATAGACAGTTCAATTTCTCCTATGTTGACAACAAATAACCCCTTGTCTGATCTATGAAAGTAGAGATCTGGTGCAGTATAGAAGTTGGAGATCTGAGAGTCTTTGCGATCACATACTCTCTTACTTTACCCAGGATAAAGCCAAAGCCTGGAAGTTTATAAGGTAAACCTGGAAGACAGGAGGCCAGCACCTATGGCTGGGCTTCTACCTCTGGACTTTCTCCCTGCCATGCCCAGGTATCGATGCAAGATGCCTTGCAGAGGCACCAACCAATTGCTGCCGATAGATCCTCTCTTGGCTTTGTGTTACATGCCCATGGAATCTTTAGCAGACGTCTGATTTTCCTTCCATATCTAATTTCTGTTGTAATAATAATGGTAACATTAACTTCTCTGTATTGAAAGTTAAACAAGTCAACATTTTGAGGTCTCTAGAATAGTATCAAAAATATACTGACTGTTCAATAAATTAAGCCATTATTGTTACTATTTTCTATCATCTCTTAGATATTTGGGGGCTAACTCTTGTACTAGGTACAATGTTGGAGCAAATAATATGCACAATATAAATGATTGTCACTTAGTACATTGAAGTTCAAAATTATGTCCCTCACTTTTTATTAATGGGAAGATAACTCACATCAAAGATCTCAAAGCCAGCGATGTCCAAGACCCCGATGAAGTACTGCCGGGGCTGCTTGGTGTCCAACTGCTGGTTGATGCGGGTGACCATCCACAGGAACATCTTCTCATAGACAGCTTTGGCCAGGGCGCCCACCGCATTGTACACCTTTGCAGATATAGTAATATTTGTTAGTGTTATTAAGCCATGTCATGGAGGACTTGGTGTGTGTGTGTGTGTGTGTGTGTGTGTGTGTGTGTGTGTGTGTGTGTGTGATTCATGGAGGACATGCACTTACTTGTTGCACAGTCTGGCCTTTGGTGACGTACTCATTGCCGACCTTGACCCTGGGGTAGCACAAGGCTTTGAGCAGGTCAGCAGAGTTCAGACACTGGAGATAGGCAGCCTTGTCAGCCACTGTGGTGACACAAATCAAAAAATGATTAGCATTTAATATTTGTCCTCATCACTTTGTCTTTCTCCTATCTAATTACTCTGTTATTGGTAACAAAAAGGTTAAAAAAAACTTTAAATAATTTCAGAGAAAGTCAAATAAGATTCTTTGTATGTATACTGAGGCACCTGTTTGCCACAGAATGGTTTATCATTTATCCCGGCTTTTAGTGACTTGTTGCAAGTAGGATTTGAGAACACCTTCATTAACCATAAAAATGTAAACAGTGTTTATTGTGACATTCTGTTCAAGGTTTGAGACATAGCCCTGCTCCCCCTTTAAGACTTCAGGTGTTGCCAGAAGAGTAAGATAAATTCACCATAGCACTCATTGTCAGGGAGGGTAAAAGGCTGAATATGGGGACTCTTATGCAACTTTCACCTCCCTGGATTTAACCTGACTGGATCAAAGGTCTTACTTGTTTATCTGAAAAAGTAGGGGTTAATTAAACTGGGTGATCCTTTCTAAAAGTATGTGTAATGCTATATGTCAGTCTCAAGATAACATCTGGAGAAGATTGAGGGAGAAAGGGAGAGGGAGAAGATTGTCAGACTAGGTTGTTGGGGAAGGGTTTGGGGAAGGGGAATAACTGGGTAGTGGTTCCTATGTACTGAATGCTTTTTCATATGCAGAGCACGTGATTTTTCTTTGTCAGTTCTTTTTGTATCTTACTTGCTCACTGCCTTTGAGAGGTTTATATAGAGACAGCACATGCACACATACAGATGTGCCTAGGAATACCCTTCACCTCTCACCCTATGCAAAGATCCTCTAGTGCTAGGTCCTAGGCTTTCCTAGCTAATGCTAAAACAATATGTAACCTTATCATGTAACCTTTGCCAAGACAAAGTAGGAATATTATTCCACCTCATTCTGTCTACATCTCTATAGCTCTCTGGCCCTCAGTTGAGCTTTTATGTGGCTTTGGGGTTTGTTCTAGCTTATTTGAACTGGTAGTGATGATGAAGTGATGGAGATATGAGAAATGAGGGTGGTGAGGAAGGGATATGTGTATACAACTAGGCTTTCGTCTTCAGAAGTGCAGACACAAGAAGATGTGAGTTTAGGGTGGAAAGTGTTTCAGTTAGAAGATTCTGCTTTTTAAACTGAGCTAGAGGGTCTTTGGGTACCTTCGGTGCCATCCGGCTCAGCCTGCTCCTCTCGCTGCTTCTGCTTGAACTTCATGTTCCCATAATGCATCACGGCCCCTGTGAGCTTATAGATGGACACTTTCTCTTCAGGTGAGAAGCCCAAGATGTCAATGGCACTCTACCAGGAAAGATGAAAGGGCAGAGGTTAGGGTAGAAGATGCTATTTATGAGAATTTATAACTACACCAAGGTGACCACACCTGTGTGGGGTTTGCTGCTGCCATTCCCACACATAATGGGCTTTTGAAAAAGTGTGTGTAAATCTTATGACTTACATCTGTGGCCATTAGCTCTTCTTGGTCATCAATGCTGGGCACTGTGATCTCCCCCTGACTGACAAAGGCGTAGTCATATGGGTTGGTAGTGATCAGGAGCATTTCTGGGTACACAGAATTCTTGTTTTAACATGAGATATTGTTAATATAAAATTTAACTTCCACCCACAAATTTAAGTTCTTTTTTACCAATTAGTTCTGGCTTCTTATTGGAAGTGATCTGATAGAAAATGTGGTAGCTTCTTTCAGCTTTTAGCTGGAAAGTGACCCGGGACTTCTCCAGAAGATCTGGAAAGAAAGATATTGAACTAGAAAAACTGTCCACTCTATTGACATATTGTAAATGTTTGTGTCTTTGGCCAAAACTGGGGACACTACATTTGATTCCACTGAAGTGTCGTCAGGATTCTCATCCTGTGGTTACATATTAGAACCAAAATGCACATGGTAGCTGCCATGTGTCTTTCCATGTAGGTGCAGCCACTGAAGTATCCTTCCCTGGGACAAGTTTCAAATGTGGAATCCATGACCTCTGTGTGTTAGCTGATTTCTAGTGCCCTTGGATCAGCTCACATGATCTGTGGTAAAAATCTACCTTGGAAGGATGGATACCTTTACCAAATCAGAGCTAACCCCTAGATAAGCATGGGGTGAAGATTAGACTTGCTTCTGAGGTTTGGAAGTCCTCTGACATGTGAGAGGGGATCATCAGCCTTAGATTGAGATTTGGGGTACAGATAGTGAACTATGGGTGAGTCTGGCATTAGCTCATAGACAGCTCTGGTGGTAGACTGCTTCTCTGCAGGCTCCTTACACAGAACATGTTGCAGAACGTCCCTGCAACCAAATTGGCTTGCTTCCAAATTTAGATTTTCCCACAGTTTAGTTACTCACATGTTTCAATATCAGCTGATGCCAGCTTCCCTGTGGTACCAAAGTGGATTCTAATGAATTTGCCCTGGAAAAGATAATGATGTGTTTAGTATTAAACCCTCAAGCACACAGAGATAAGAACCTGAAATATTCAGATACAATGACCCTAGCATGTAAGGGCAGAAAGGGTCCCTTTGTGACCAAGAGACTCACAAATCGAGAGGAGTTGTCGTTCCTCACTGTCTTGGCGTTGCCAAAGGCCTCTAGCAGGGGGTTGGCACTGATGATTTGATCTTCCAGAGTCCCCTGCATGGGAAAGAGGAATCCTCACATCTGGGGATCCAGACTCCTAGGCACTCTAACTGAGTCTGAATCCTTGTTCTGGCTACCAGGCCCACCTGCATTTTGCCAGACTCCTCCTTCTTCTTGTCCCCAGTGACTGCGATTGTCGCAAAGTACTGGATGACACGCTTGGTGTTCACGGTCTTCCCAGCCCCGGATTCTCCGCTGCCAAACACAAGGGAAAGGAGATCAGAACCATGGCACATCGGGGCAACGGTTAAGACAGTCACTGCCTACCAGGAAGAAGAAAAAAGTCACATACGTGATCAGGATGGACTGATTCTCGCGATCTGTGAAAGGAATAAAGACCACCAGTTAAAACAAAACAACGCAATGTATATTCAACAGAAAGCAATGGAGTCAGGTGAACTCAGACTTGGCCTCTTCAAAGATGGCACCCGTGATTTCAGCTTTGGGTTTAGTAGAGTAAAATCTGTGAAAATGAGAGGGAAGGAATCATCTACTTCCTTTTTCTCACTTTATTATATAAGTGCATGTAAACCTGTGTGTGTGTGTGTGTGTGTGTGTGTGTGTGTGTGTGTGTGTGTACACACAGAGTCCCGAGACTGGTGCAGGGAGTCTTCCTCCATGGCTCTGCACTTTATTGAGGCAAGGTCTCTCAGTTAAACTTAAAGCTCACAGATACAGCTAGTCTAGCTAGCCAGCTTGTTTGAGGGAATTTTCACCCATGGCTCCCCAGCACTGTGATTACAAGCAGGCCCGGGCCCAGGCTGCATTTGCTTGGGTGCTAGGCATCCATATTCTGTTCCTCTATGTGGCAAGCACTTTACTCATGGAGCTGTCTCCCTGGTTAGATTCACACCATTTTAAGTGTATAGTTCTGTGGTATTACGTTCCCTCATGTGCATCCATCAATACCTTCCACTTCCAGACTCTTTTCATCTTGTAAAGCCTACCCTCTGTATCCAGTCCACAATGGTTCCTTTGTTTATCCCATTGCTCAGGGCCTGGCAACCACTCGTCAGCTCTCTGTTGATGAATTTGACTACTACTATCAAGCCCTCCCACGAGCCGAATCACACAGTGTTTGTGATTTTTTCCCCTTAATGTGTCCTCAAGTTCGTCTGTGTTGTGGCACTGTCAGAATTGACTCTTTTTAAAGGAAGAGTAATATTCCATTGTATGACTATACCACCCTTGGCTTAACGACCCATCTGCTAGTGGGTGTGTGGGTACCTCGCCTATGTTCGCTGTTGTAAATGATGCTGCTGCAATCATGGCCTACAAAGAGCTCTTCGATCGCCTGCTTCAGTTCTTTTGGCTCTCTTCCCAGAAGCAGGGACCATGGATCAGATCCTAATTCTATTCCAGTTGCTTGAGAACCTCTTTTACTCTCTTCTGTAGCAATTGTGCCATTTTCCATTCCCACCACAGGGTACGGTCTCCTCATTTCTCCACATACTTTCTAATACTTTCTATTTTCGTTTCTTTTTTCATCATAGCCATTCAGATGTGAGGGGGGCATGTTTTATTATTATTATTATTATTATTATTATTATTATTATTATTATTATAAGTTGTGTTATTAGAAAATTTAAGTACACATAAGAATAGAGACTATACTAATGAGACCCCGGATGCCCGTCTTATAGAGAAATAGTC